CAGCACTGACTCAAAAAGGGAAACCTGTAGCATTCGGGAGCAGAGCACTGACACCAACCGAAAGGGGCTATGCCCAAATAGAAAAAGAATGTTTAGCTATTGTCTATGGCATGGAAAAGTTCCATCAATACACGTATGGCCGGAAAGTGACAGTACAGAGTGACCATAAGCCGTTGGAGAACATTGTCAAGAAGCCACTGTTAAGTGCACCAAAGAGACTCCAACGTATGTTGCTCAGACTTCAGAGATATGATTTTGATGTGATTTATGTCCCAGGTCGTGACATGTTACTTGCAGATACATTGAGTAGAGCATACTTACCAGAGAGCTCATCTGCAGGAACAGTGGAAGTTGAGATTGAGACGGTCAATATGGTGGCCTACTTGCCTATCTCTGAAGAGAGACTGAGCACAATCCGCTCTGCTACACAAGGAGACAAAACGCTACAGACACTTAGCAACACCATTCAGAAGGGATGGCCTAAATATAAGAAAGACACACCGATAGATATTATGCACTACTACTCATTCCAGGAGGAACTGAGTATACAGGATGACATCATCTTCAGAGGGGAGAGAGCTGTCATCCCATATTCACTACAAAGGGACATCACCCGCCGGATCCACTCCTCTCACCTGGGTGTGGAGGCATGCCTCAGGCGTGCGAGAGAATGTGTCTACTGGCCGGGAATGAATGAACAGATAACAACGTTCATAGTGAAATGTGACATTTGCAGATCAGTTGACACGAAACAACAAAAAGAGACACTACATCCACATGAGGTACCAGGCAGACCAAGGTTGGTACAGATTTGTTTACCTTTAATGATAAGAACTACCTCATTACAGTGGACTACTATTCCAACTTTTGGGAAGTTGACTACCTACCTGATACAAAGTCAAGTTCTGTAATTAGGAAGCTGAAAGCTCACTTTTCCCATCAGGGGATTCCGCTTATTCTTTTTTCGGACAATGGGCCCCAGTATTCGTCCCAAGAGTTCCAGCGTTTCAGTCGGCTGTGGGAGTTCGAGCACAAAACGTCGTCTCCTGGATACCCACAGAGCAACGGGAAGGCCGAGTCTGCTGTGAAAACTGCAAAACGACTGATGCTGAAAGCTAAGGCGGCGGGACAGGACCCGTACCTGGCTATGTTGGATCACCGCAACACACCTACTCAAGGACTGACTACAAGCCCGGCTCAGGGACTGCTTAGCAGGAGGACCAGTCTCCTACAACCCGAGGTGAAACAGACAACACAAGAGCAGATTGACAGGCAGGAGAAGCAAGCCACATACTACAACAGGACAGCTAAGGACATGGACATTCTCAAACAGGGAGACCGGGCTAGAGTTCAGCCTTACGAACCACACACGATCTGGAGGACGGCTACTGTGGTGGAGCCTGTTGACCACAGGTCCTACACGGTGCAGCTGGAGAATGGAGGTGTTCTAAGGAGGAATCGACGTCACCTGAGACGGGACCAGGGCACAGTACCGAGTGTGACAGCCCGTACGGTGACTGTTGACACTCACACGACTCCAGAAACTGTTCCAACCCCTGACAGAGTCATGTGTGACACACAACAGACTGTGACTACCAGAGCTGGCCGACCAGTTGTTAGGCCACAGTACTTGCAGGACTATGCACACTGATATGGGGTCACTGATGTGATGTGACTCAAGGACTTTGGGGGGGATTTAAAAGAAAAAATGTTGAGTGAGAATTGTATTTTGAAATTTGTATTTAAGGAAAAAAATTAATAAGTGATTTTGTACCTACACTTAAAAAGAAAAGGAAAAAGGATGTTACAATAGTTGTTATATGTTTCCACACGGACCCTGTTGAGGGGAACACAAACCGGAGCAGGCATGCGGATGAAGCCAGGGTGTAAATGTTATGCTACGTTCTATGTAAGAGTTTAATAAAGTGTAAGCAGCTAAAAGTGCTTCAACCGTCCATTCTTGTAATATGAGGGGCAAGAATGAAACACTGATGTTAACCTTCGGTAGGTCTTGGAGACATCGAGTGTAAAATAGTGCCTATATAATATCTATACGCTATCTCTCTCGCTATCTATTGCTATCTATACGCTATCTATCGCTCTTCCCTCTACCGCTCTACTGTAGACCGGAAGTTTAAAACCGCACACCCAACCACCGGAAGTTGATAGACGCCATCTTGTGCACAGAGCCAATAGCTGGGCCCTCTGTGAATGTAGAGAGGGACCAACAAGCTCTCTCGTCTTCACAGTAACTCGCAGAGACGGCATTTAACCCTTCACATTCCAACAGAAACTGAACAGGCAGATTCGAAGGATTTATTTCTTTGGAAATATTATTTTAAATACAATTAAATCAAGTTATTTTGGTAAAACTAATGAAAAATGTAACAACAAAAAAATATTTTAAAAAATATTTTAAAAAAAAAAGTTTCTTTTTTAATGTTTTCAAATATTATTTTTTAGAATATCTTAGGCCCTCACTGAGGGCCTAGAGGGCCCTGACGGCTCGCCACTGCTATTGTGACAATTGAGCTACGCAATTGCACTGTCAGGAGATTTTCACACGGTTATGTTTTCAGTTTGTTGGGGCAAATCAAGATCTTTTACTTTATCAAGGAAATACTTTTATATAACCAACAATACAAAGTTAACGTCCTGCGTTTAAAGTTTTACCAGCCTAGAGCAAAAGTAAATCAGATTTAGCACAAAAAAAACTGGATTGAAAGTGAGAAACAGAACTTTCACAGCTTTATTTTATCTATGGACAGAGGTTCATCTCTAGAAAAGAGAAATCAATCTGCTATTGCATTCAACGACATAAGCAGGAACTATTGTATACAGTAATAGAGAAATATACATTACACATCTTTTGTGAGTACGTTTCTTTCCTTATTTGCAGTACAACCTTTTCCTACTTTTTACATCCTTTTGTTTCTTCTAGCAAATACTCAGATCCACTTAAGTAAAAGTACTAATACCACGGTCTAAACAAACTCCATTACGGGTAAAATAACTGAGTTCAAAAGGTTACTTCAGTACAAGAACAGAAGTATTATCAGCTAAATGTACTCTAGTATCAAAAGTAAAAGTAATCATTGTGCACAGTGCCCACATATACATTTGTTGAACATTAAAACAAATACATATAGGAGTTCTTCAATATTATAGTACATCAATGTGGGGCACATTTTGGAAGGTACTTAGTCAATTAGTAATACATATATAAACACTGTATTTATGTAAAAAGTAACTACAAGTTTCAAATATATGTATTCCAGTAAAATTACAACATTTCCCTCTGAATTGTACTGAAGTAGAAGTACGAAGTAGCAGAAAATAGACTCAAGTAAAGTATTTTGAATAGTTCATTGAGTATTCCACCACTGCCTTTAGCGAACAGTATTCAGAGGTTGAGTGGTATTGGAAGCCTGGGTCATATTTTGTGTCGTTTAGCAGTTTTTAGTATGTTTTAAAGAGTTAGAGGTGTTACTGTATGTTGCCAAATAGGTGAAGCAATGACTCATCATATTTACTGTAACAGCATTGGTGTGTGTGTGTGTGTGTGTGTGTGTGTGTGTGTGTGTGTGTGTGTGTGTGTGTGTGTGTGTGTGTGTGTGTGTGTGTGTGTGTGTGTGTGTGTGTGTGTGTGTGTGTGGTGTGTGTGTGTGTGTGTGTGTGTGTGTGTGTGTGTGTGTGTGTGTGTGTGTGTGTGTGTGTGTGTGTGTGTGTGTGTGTGTGTGTGTGTGTGTGTGTGCGGGAGTTACCAAGGAAAATAAAGGGACAGAGCGGGTACCTGACACTGTGTTTTCTGTCTGATTTCCCAGGTTAGCGTGGTCTTTGTCTTCCTCCTCCTCCTCCTCCTCCTCCTCCTCCTCCTCCTCCTCCTCCTCCTCCTCCTCCTCCTCCTCCTCCTCCTCTCTGTCACCTCAGCCTCCCTCTCTGGTTTTCACCTGACTGAAACATGAACCTCTGAAACGGGAAACCTGTGGCATCGCAACACGAGAGCTGAGGTCAGCCGCTCTGACAAAGACCTCAATGTTCACAGTAAGAGCCTTTACAGTTTTTTCAGTTGCTATCACACTAAAACTAAACTAAAGCATCATTATTTAAACTGACATTCAAAGAGCAAAACCTTAGCTCAAATCTCCAAAACTCTAAACACATTTTCAGCTCTGCACCCAATTTGCAATTCAACATGGCACTTTTCATGCACATGGTTCTCTAAGTGAGACACAGAAATCTGACTGTTGTAATGTGAGGTGCAGGTGATAAAACATCACAAGGAGAGTTTCGTTCAAAAGAAAACAGGCATTTTATTTTTTAGCCTTCAACAAAAACTTTATTTTACAGAAACATTAACTGCTTTTTCAAATACATGCCTCGTTCTGCTCTTTCACCAAAAAGGGAAATACATGCCACCCCTCCCCTATATTCCCAGTCACATATCTATTGCCCGCCTTCCCAATTCCACCTGGCCAATCAGGTCCTGATTCTGAAGGGGGGAGTGAAGAGTTAAACACAAACATAAACATTGTTTTATACATGTCACAAAATCCTCAAGGCCAAAGTAAATTCATTATTTGAGCTACAAAAATATTGTAAATTCAAAAACCACAAGATCTGCACAAAACTGATAGTTTTAAGTTAATTGGCATTGTCACGGAGGTGATCTCTGGGCTCATAGATCTCGGCCTCCGTTACGGGTTGTTTAGTTTTTTGTTGTTGAAAAGTGTTCCCCTTTCCCCATGTCTGTCGTTGATTGTGTGCACCTGGTGCCCTGTGTTGTCTCCTCCCACCTCACCTGTGTCCTGTTGGTTTGATTAGTGTGGGTGTGTATTTAGGCTCTGTTGCCCTGTCTGTTTGGAGGCTGGTAGTGTGGGTGAGATCCTTGAGGCTGGTGGCTGTGTGCACAGGAACAGCAAGATTGAGGCTGTGTCCTGTGCGCAAGTTTAATAAATGCCCACACCGGGTTATATCTTTGGACGTTCTGCCTCTGCCTCCTTGCTTGGTCGGGCCGCTCAATTGTCAGCCTCACAATTGGTGTCAGAAGTGGGATTTGACCAAGTGAGGAGGTGAGAGTGATGGAGGAACTGCGGGAGATGATGAGGTCACTCCTGCAGCTTCAGGCAGCCGGTGAGCAGCAGTTCGCACAGGAAGAGGAACGGAGACTCCGGAGGGAAGACGGCAGATTGGCTGGAGGCTCGACGGGCGCTGGCTCTGCCGCTGAGGCATCAGAGATCCTGGCGGAGAACCGGAGATTGGTGCAAGAGCATAAAGAGGAGTAGCTCCGGTTACAGAGGGAAGAAGAGAGGAAGGCAGAAGCATCGAGAACGGTTGGAAAGATGGCGGCGCACACGCAGAAGAATAACAAGCCAAGGAAACCTGGAGGAAAGGAGTCGTCGCAGCCTTTGATAATTGCCAAAACTCCAGAGTTCGTCCGGGATGTGATGGGTTCCGGCGCCGGTGCGGGCAGCGGGGAGTTCCACGTTTGCCGGCACCTCCGACGCGGGGAGTACCAAGGGCGGGACTTTCTGGACAGGATGTCGGGGAAAGTGAATGAGGACATCGAGTGTCTCGATGAAGTGGAGCTGAGCAAACGGGCGGCCGGTGATGGAGCAGCGGGGCGCGGGAGGAAGCGAAAAAGACTGAGGCGCAAGATGCGGATGTGAGCTCTTTAGAACGACATATTATTTCACAAATGTTTGTAAAGGCAGACTGCATAGCTAGGTGCTTGATTGTATACACCTGTGGCCATTGGACTGAATTAAACACCTGCATTCAATTAATAAGAGTGGTCCAATACTTTTGTCCATTTTGTGTATATCATGTGACCTGGGATCATCACGATGGATGTTTTAAGAAACTGTATACAGGGTTAAAGGGCGGGGGCCCGTTCATTTCTATGAGAATTGCTCGATGGCGCATGAAACCCAAAATGGAGATATTTAGATTCAAAATCACCCCTATCTGGGCTCATAAAGCATGCACACTCAAGTTTTCAACTTTTAGACGATGATGATTTGAATAAGGGCTATAAAAGGGTTGGGTACTTTATTCACCAAAATATGTATACGCTGATTTACAGTCATCTTTTTCCCAATGGGTAAGTGTAGTACTAGTTTTATCCAATAGGAACATGTGCTTCAATGTTCAGCACTCTAGGGGTATGGCCCTTGACTCTGAAGAATATAAATACTGTGATCATATACAGTAGGGATATGGGCACATGGAGTATGCACTTGCAATTTCCTTAAAGCACCGCCCCAAATCCGCTTTGCCTCTGCTCTTTAACCCTTCTCTTGCGTTTCGGGTCAAAAGTGACCGAATGACTTTTGTTTTAATCATAAATATTGTGTTTTTCATCCAATTGCCTCAATACCTTAAGTTATCCTCCACACTAGGCCTCTGAACATATACACTTGATGATCACCACTTGCATTGAATGTTGAGTGATTTATTCAACAGTGAAACACCCTTGATGTTTTCGGTCAGAATTGACCGCCATAGAAAACGAATGGGTTTGAGTGTATTATGTTCATCCTGCAGATGGAAAACATCTGATATATACACACACACACGCGTTACGGGAACCTCTCCCTTTCTCGGGCTGTATGATACAATGTATCATACCTTCTCACAGGTGCAAGCTCTGTGCCCCTCGAGAAACACAAACCTCTCACTTTCTCGCGCTAAATGGGCAAGAAAGTTTGAACCACATGAAGAGGAGATTGAACCAGATGAAGAGGAGATAGAACCAGATGAAGAGGAGATAGAGGAAGATGTCTCAGAAATGGAAGACAACAGCGATCCAGACTATTATATTACATTACATGTCATTTGTTAGACGCTTTTATCCAAAGTGACTTACTTACATTCAGTACTGTGGACCAGTGGTTCCCAAACTTTTTGTGCCCAAGGCACACCAAAGGACAAGTAAAAATCTCAAGGCACACCTATTGTGCAAAATAGCCCTTATAACACGTGTTATCACTCATATCATGTAAGATATCTGTAAATGTGCATAATTATTTACTAATGCCAAATAAAATGTGACAGACAACTATATCACTCGTGAAATATTTATTAACGAAATATTTCAGAAATTAATTTGAAACTTTATCAAATTAGGCTTCATCAAAGCAGCAACACACTCATTTAAACCAGACAGGTCACAACATTAAAAATGAGGCAAAGGAAACTCAGCAGAAATTCAGCACAGAGAACTGTCAATGCAAGGAAGCTGCATTGTCCATGGTCCTGAACTACAAATTATAAATGTATTACTTTAAAAAAATAAAATATATATATTACACTACTTCGTTACTATCTACATAAAGTAACTCGTTACTTTACTCGCCGAGCACGTACGAACTGCGCATGCGTGAGTGGCAATAACTTTCCTTACCAGCAGGCGGCGGTAGTGTGTATTTGTCATTCAAAACAGGCAACAACCGGAAGACAGAAGAAGAACAGACTGCGTGATATAAACAAACAACAAATAGCGTGTGCGGTAGCTTCACCTTAGCATGTGTTCTTTGCAGGTGTTTGTTGAGGTTTGACGTGGTGTTTACAGCAGTGGATAACAGCTTCTGGCCTGGACACAGTTTGCACCTCACCGTCACATTCCTGTCTATTCTTCGGACGAACTCAAAGTAATGGGCATACCTCCACCCCTGGAAAGTTATCGCTGACTCAGCCATGTTTATGTAGCACTGCACGTGGAGATGTGGATGCGCAAGTCGCGTAGATTACGTACATATAAAGCTACAAAGTACTGATATAGTCAATTAAAAAATAATTATTTTTGTGTAGTTGTATATTGCAATAATAACGTAGGCCTATGGTTGTCACAAAATCCCACGGCACACCCGGACTTGCCTCACGGCACACCAGTGTGCCGCGGCACACCGTTTGGGAACCACTGCTGTGGACAATCCCCACAGGAGCAATTTGGGGTGAAGTGTCTTGCTCAGGGACACAACGACATGCTGACTGCAGTGGGACTCAAACTTGCTACCCCCTGATTCGAAGTCCAGCACACACTGGCTTGCTTGTATCAAATCAATACATCCCATACATCATTGGAACGGGAAGAATCTCAGCCACAACACCAACTAAGGCATTTCCATCTCCAGTAAACACAGCCTACATGGCAAGCATTTTTATAATATACAGTAATGTAAAATAAGCACTATCTTTGAACTTACTGCCAAAAATAATATGAAATTCACCCCTGGTGTCATTCTGTCTGTCATCTCTTGATTCTACTTGCTTTGACTGTTCAAATGAGATGTCAACCATCAAAATTGGATAAGGGGTTCCAGAGATATCACTGCAAAACACACCGGTCAATTTTGACCGAAAATAGCATGGGAAGGGGGGTATGACCTAACGCAAGAGAAGGGTTAAGAAGCTATTGAAATGGATGAATATCAAGGGCAATATGGTGTCCTGTTGATTTGATTAAGAATTGATCTGAAAAACACATACGTATGTTCATTCTTACCCTTGCAGAGGTTTTCTTATTTTGTTGTAAATTATGTTAAACTCATCGCACCCAGATTATCTTTAAAAGAAAATTATAAAGATGAATTTGAAAGCATCAGATAGGATTTGCCAAATTTGAACCGTTGGATTTTTATTTCTTTTTTTATTAGAGCAAAACAACTGACAGCATAAAACAAACACCATCAAACAACTTAAGGATTTACTGATTATAACAAGCATGATTCTGTATGTACATAATTTGTCTCTGAGAGGTACGGAAAAAGAAGGCAACAGTCATCACAGGTCTGCTGGGATTTTTTCGGAGGGTCAGCTTGGCATTGTTATCATTCAACTTTATTGTTTACATTTTGTTTATTTATTTTGTTTTTGTTCATGTACTTCAATGTTGACTTTTCTTTGGGTAGACTCTGTTTTAGAATGGAGTCTGCAATGGAATATAGGAAACATGCTCCTTTTCCATTAACTGTCTCACATTAGTTCTCTTGCATTAGTTTAGTCCCACAATCATCCCATCACCACATAGACCAGGCCAGAGGAACAGTCTTATTGGCCTCACTGGAAAGATCCTCTCTTGTCCGGACGATCTCTCATTCAGTGAATTTCTCTTGTCTCCTGTACCACCACCTTGCGGTAGGTGGGGGGTTTTTTCACTGTAGTGGTAGAGGAAGTCACCACGTTGCTCTGAGAGCCAGAGATGTCTCTTTTCAGGGACAGACATCCTGCTTCCTTGACCAGCTGCCCTCTGTTGCTTTGCTCTCCGACCACCAGAGATCCTGAAAGCCCCCCTGACTGCAGAGTTCCCCCATGCATAAAGTGGGTCTGGCTACTTTTAAGCCCTTCTATTGTCCCTTTAGGGGCTTTTCCCTCCACCACCATCATGGTCTTGGAGCCAGAGAGGTTGCCAGAGTGGATGAGGTTTCCACCACTTCCATGGACCCGGCTCTTCTCCACCAGCACCATGCGTTGGCCCTGGGCTCGCCCGCTGGACATCACGGTCTGTCCCTGAACCACCACGCCTTGGGCATGTCCAGTTTGGGAGCCGTTGAGCAGTACCATGCCCTGCAGGTTGGTGGATGGTGCCTCCGCCAGCAGCACGGTGTTCTGAACCTGTGGCTGGAGGACGTACTGCATCTGCACAGGGGTGGCGGTGGTGTAGTAGACGGGCTGCGGCTGCTGCTGTAGCAAGATCATCGGACCTTGATTCACCATCCCTTCATTTACTGTGGTCATCCCTGTGCTCACTGGGATCATCCCTGTTCTCACCGTGGTCATCCCTTCCATCGCTGTGGCCGTGCTCTCCTTCACAACCTGAGAACTTCCAGATGTCTCACTGATCACTGTCTGAGATGTGGTCTGATGCAGCTTGGGTGGAGGGGCTGGCTGCTGGCAAGCTGAGGTGGGAGTTTGGATTGATGCACTGGGCGGATAAATGAACGCTGGTTTGACCTCAGTTTCGATCTTCTTGCCTCCGCACACCTCAGCCAGGGTCTTGAACTTCATACCGAGGTCATCAATAAACTGCAGGTCGTTCTCAGACTCCAGGAGGCTGCAGCAGCCCACTGAGCCAGCAAGGGAGCCAACACCCTCGTAGTCATAAACTGAAAGAGCGTCTTTCCCTCCAAGGTTTTCGTTTTCACTCGTCACCTTCTGTTAAAAGAGAAAAGAGAAATCATAACCAAGGTTTCCTTATTTATTGACTGAGATAAATCCCATGATGACCAATAAGAGAATCCTCATCCTACTACACATTCAAGCACAGTATTAAAAAGTGGATCATTGAAAACCAACATTGTTAGCACTGATGTGTGGGTGCAGGTGTGTGTATGAGTGCGTATTGTGAATGTTTTATTTATTATCATGACTTACTTTTAACTGTATTCAGTGATGTCATCTATTGTAAATATGTACAATGGTATAACAATGTTGTGGTATTTTCATTATTGCTTTTAGGATGTCTATCACCATCTGGCAAAAGGACTATCGGTGAAAACTAGCCTTTTGGCTAATTTGAGTACTTTTACATGTTTTTAATATGTTGATTAATGTACACTGTCCCTTGTTTTAAATAAATCAATTCAAATCCCATGAGGAAGTGGCATGTGTATGTATTGCATGTTGCACATAACATCACATACCAAATGCCTGTCGTTCTACTGGAAAACATTGTTGGTGCCCGAAAACATGCTTTTCAAACCTTTTTAAGTTTGTAATAAGAAGTTGTAGGATTTGAGCTGTTCCATGTACGCACATCTAGATTAATTTATTTTCAAAACATTTGTCCATGACAAGTGAGGAACAGAAATATTATAATGATTTCTCACCTGACTGTAGTACTGTCTCAGGAAATGGTCTGGCAGAGCCATTCCATCGTTCTCTCCTTGATGTACTTGTGATCCTTGACCCTCAATCCAAGTTCCTAATCCTGAAACGTTACTCTTCCCCCAGCCGATGCTATCACCTTGAAAAGAATAGCCCTGATATATGCCAGGTCCTGATCGCTGAATTGGGACTTCACAAATCACAACTCCTCCATCCATTTGTGGCGGTATGTTCAGTAGCGGCACCTCCTGTAAAAGATCAATGATCCAAATGTTATAACATAGTCCACACTTATTCAGCTGCCTAGCGTCAAAAGTGAGCTTTCAAGCAGACATCCTCTCTACAGCATCAACCAGTATGAAGGTATATATGTTGGTCTCACCGTGTTCTCGCCCTGGCCCTCAGTGTGGTAGTTAATGAGATGAGATTTGGTGCCGGAAGGCATCTCAGTAAAGCTTGCGACCTCCCCACATCCGCAGAAGAGCAGCAACAGAAGAAAAACTGTAAAAACAACAACAAAGTGTTACTCAAAGGCTACTTAAACATGGTGTGGGGAATGCAGTGTTGCTCTGGGGTTATCCAAAAAAGGGTGCAGTTTATTTTTCATGGCACACTAACCTACCAGGTAATACACTGTCTAGATCAATTACCTAAACCAATATGTGCTAATGTTATATCCTATAAAAGGCAACCATGTACTTAGCTTTGCAGATCATTTACATGCACAAAACCTATATAACACACTACGGGTTCTGGGTTGGTGCTGTTCAAAGGACTTATTTTCTCAATCAGCTTCAGTTTGAGTAATTTCATTACACAACCTTGAGTTTTTTTGTTTGTTAAAAACATACATAAATAATTCATGCTTATTAAGTTATGATTAATAAATACTTTATATTTAAAGCCAAGTTTTGAGGGGCTTAACAGCTCTTGACTTTTTTAAATGTCCAAATGAATTCCCTTCATGTCAGACTTTTGTTTTTGTCACATGTAAATGGCTTGTTTAACTGGCTTAACTATACTCAACCTGATTTAAGATTGTCTTTAGCACAATTACATTGTTAGGTGCCTGATCATATAACCCTTGAGCCTCAAAGCATACGTACGTGGTAGCAGCAGCAGACCAAGGAACAGCAGTCCGATTCCAGCGGGTCCTAACTCTGCTCCTTTCTTGGTATTACCTCGATCTCCACACATCACCCCTTCCTCACAGGTGCACACTTGAACCGTCACTTTCTCTGGTTCTGGACAGGCCTGCCCTTGCTGGTCATTCACCACAAAAGTCACCTCGTATAAACCAGGCCACAGGGTCTCCTTAGCCCTCAGGATGGCTGCAGTGTCTGCAGGCACGAGACGAAAAGATGATGAGTGTGCCAAGTGTGTTTAATTTTGATTATAATACTGATTATTGTTGCAAAACAATTAAATCCTGGTGCTCAACTGGTTGAGGATGCATGCCAGGATTAGGGTTAGGAAAACCAACTAATGTTGACAGAGCTAGTTCTAATTGTATATCTATTTAAATGTTTTAATATCTATTTACAACACTTTAAAATATTCACAGTATTCTCCTCACCATTGTAGTGCTCCACCTGCCATTTACCCTGAGTGCCCTCTGGGATTATTTCAAAGGTAAAAGGAGATCCGTTGGGGGAAAAATCCTCATCTTTAGCATTCACAATAACGGCATCATCGGGGATACACAGAGTCTGGATTTGACTGGTAAGGGTGGGGCAGTGGTCGTTGAAATCCTCCACTTGGATGGCTATGGTGCCAGTGGCTGTTTTAGCAGGCATGTCTGTGTTGAAGGAAATAAAGAAATCAACCAGCTTTAATTTGTTTCTATTTCCAGGACAGATTTCATGAACGTTTTCAAAATGCTAATCTCAACTGTTGGCAAGGCTGGTAAACCACATGCAAAGCATCTTGATCTGAAGAGGAAAGAAAGTGTTAAAAGTGTACCTTCTGTAAAGCAGAGTACTTTGGCATAATACGTCCCGTTGATCAGGTATGGAGATTCTCTATCTGGCATCTTGTTCAGTTTGATATCAGCTGTTTTTGGGTCGATGGTAAACCAGTTGTCAGGGTCTGAGCCTTTGGCATACCTACAGTAGAATACACTGTGTCAGTTATCATGATTGAGTGTAGAAAACTAAGCTGAAGTACTGTTAACCACAGAGCATTTTGAGTATGTGTTAATGCACTGACCTGACATTCTCAGCAACTTTCCCAGTGTCTACATCTATTGCGGTGTAGCGGGTAATGACTTCATTAATGTTGACGGAGCTGCCTTCCTCTGAGACGGGAATAGCTTTGACTTTGGGGTCAAAACTTGGCCCCTCCGGCTGGTTCTTCACATTGATTTTGATCGGATAGGTTTTGTATGTGGTACCACCTTGCGTGAATGTTCCGGATGTTCCAAGGGTTCCTCCTGATCCTCCTGTAGCACCAGTGGCACCACTTTGCCCACTGGAACCACTGGCACCACTTGCACCACTGGCTCCACTTGCACCACTGGCACCACTGGCACCACTGGCACCACTGGCACCACTGGCACCACTGGCACCACTGGCACCACTAGCACCACTTGCTCCTCCTGCTCCACCTAGTTCTATATTAATTCCAGAAAATCCAGTAGATCCATCGTATAATGGAACCTTGTTCTTCACAATTAATCCTAGGTCAAGGTTCTTCACATCCTCATAATCGACAGCCTGTGAAATGGAACACATAAAGTCTAAATATCAATCTAAATTTGGCCAAAAAGACAAAAACGTCTTCTTTATGTAGGACTAAATAAGAGTTGGCGTATTTGAAACTAAAGCACTAGCACTTTAAACGGTTTGGCTTATTGAAAGCTAATGTACTAATGTGTTTTTAATTTGTATCGTCATAGTCACTTATTTTAAGGTGCTTTGGATAAAGGCGCCAGTAATTAAAGGGGTCCTATTATGCTTATATTCAGGTTCATATCAGTATGTAGTGTCTCTACTGGGACATGTCTCCATGCTTTAATGTTGAAAAAGCTCTCTATTTTGCTCATACTGCCTGTGCTGCAGCACCTCTTTTCACCCTCTGTCTGAAACCAGAGCCCAGTCTGCTCTGATTGGTTAGCTGGCCGGCTCTGTTGAGAATGATCAACTGAGTCTTAGAGCTTAGATGTCCCGCCTATTACATACAATGTGTTGGAGTGCAAGTGAGTATTACATAGTGATGTCATTATGTTACAGAAGTAAACAAATGAGTCTAATGGAGATGTTTCAGGCAGAGTGTGGGAGAGAAACTCCCTCTGAAGGTAACACAGGGATTGAAGCCTTTGCAGACCATTTACATGCACTAAAACCGATATCACACACTGCAGGAAAAGGGAAAACCCCAAAAAGCACAATAGGGCCTCTTTAATCAGAATTAGACCCTGTAAACTTAATGAGCCCTTGGCTTTATTTAATTTAGAAACCCTGTAACCATTTGACAAACACCCACCAATATTAAATTAATAACACGCGTGGCCTTGTAGCCACAGGTGTGATTGAATTGGTATAATGTTCCAATGCTGAGGTCAATAGGTGGACCCATTCATACTGTACCTACGTAAACGTTCTTTGTCTCACCTGATGATCATTTTACTAACACTTGTGTTTCTTTTTTATTGAACTTGTGTACCTTGTCGAGCATCAGAATGCCCTCGTTGGTCGCGGTGTCTGTTTTGATGCTGAAGTACCCGGCCTCGTTCCCTCTGACGATGTCAAACACGGCTTCCCAGTTCTCTGAGGCCTCCAGATCCAAGTCCTTTGCACTGATCCTCATCACCTCCACACCCTCCGTGTTCTCCTCAATGCCGCCTTCATACTGCAGGTAAAAAGCGTTGTGAGATGCAGTCATTTTTGAAAATACATTTCCATATATCATTTTTGTCCCTTAAAGGAAACATGAAACCCATTTAACTCTAAAACCCTTAATCTTATTAGATCAACATACAGTTTAACATGTTGATAAAGAAGAATGTGAGAAAGAAAAGTACCTCCTCTTTATCCAGAGTGGGAAGGTTGTCATTAACATCTTGAACATTAATGAAAACAGTGCTGGTTGCACTGTGTCCGCCTGGTAAACCATTCAGGTCTTGACCTTTCACTATCAGAGTGTACTGATCCGCTGTCTGAAATAAGAATGGGGAATAGAACAGGAAGTGTTAGAGCAGGGACTTCTCTGTAAGATGCACTCAAACCACTACAATAATGTAAAAAGGGTGGCAAATTATCAAGCTACAGGATGGGCAGTGCTGGGAAGTATTACATAAAACACGAGATGCATTCACATTACAGGAAGGCTCACACAGCGACCCTATAAGGCCCTGACACAAAATACTCGTTATTGGCCTTCAGTCACTTTTGGTCAGTGCTCATTCGCCCTAGTTTTTGCGGTGTGTCCAGCACGGTCAGCACTTTTTGTAACTCTACCAATTCAGCTGACAATATAGAAGCGGAGCCTTTCTTCAAACTAAGTCCCTCTGATTGACCAAACAAATGACTAGATAAATGTTTTACCATCATCTTGTTTGATTATTTTAATACCAGATACTGTGTGTGCGACAATGGTCGGCAAACGCTGCTTTGCTTTATTGTGTGCATCATTACAACGTCTTGAATGTCGGCATGGGAAATGCTGAGCCCAAGATGAAGTGAAAGTCTCCCATCAAAATCATAATATGGATAGGTCAAGGGATGGTGAATTGTTTCTGAAAAGGCAGCCAATGGCAGGCTCAAACACACGACCACTTCCTGTTAGTCAGGCTACGTTACATATGACATATTGTGATTGTACTGGACGTACAGTGACAGTTGACTTTAAAGAAAAACCAAAGTGTAAATTATATTTAGGTAAACCATGACGAGGAAAATAATTTGTGAAAATCTTTTTTGACATTTAGAACTTTCTATCAGGCATCTGTGAATTGTATTGGGTTTTTATTTGTAGATTGAAAATGCATTAGTGGTTCTCAATTCTACACGTGTTGATTTACATTTTTCACACACAGAGTTGGCCATTGTTGGATATTTGTACCCACAAATATAATTATTGAGACAAATCTAGCTCCATAGATTAGTATTTGTAATCCTCTGCGATTGAGACTGGCCCTGTGGATGTAGTTCACACTGTACCTCTCTGTCCAGGGCAGAACTCTTGACGAGTATGATCCCATCTTTGGAAATGGAAAACATGTCACCGGGTGGTTGCTGATCTACGATGGTATAGGCGATCTGAGAGTTTATATTTCCTGGTTCATCAGCATCAGTTGCAGTTATTTTCATGACTGAAGTCCCTGTAAAACATTATTTAGTGAAACAGTTATTAAAAATGTAAGTACATTCGGCTATGTTCAGTCTGCTGTGCCCTGATGAAAGACAACTAAATGCATCACATTTCAAACTGGTCAGAAAGATCAGAAAACACTCAGACTCTCATGTGGATACTGAATAATGACTTAAAACCTAAGTAATATCAAATTGTTTACCAAATGTACAGCTACTTACCTTTGTTATACTAGTTCTAGGTGTTAAATAAATACGTGTCACATTAAGCAGCTTAGGGAAAATAAGGCAAGAAAATAGATCATCTCGTATTTATAAAACCAGAATGTTTTGTTGTATTTATGAAGTAACTGTAGGATTACTTTGATGGAAGAATCTGGATTTACACACAAAAGCAGAAACACTTGCCTTGAAGACTGAGCTCTTTTACCTCCCCGGCCTTCATGACTGCAAACACTGGAGCGTTGTCGTTCTCATCGATAACTTTGATTCGTACGTCAATGTGTTTCTCTGCATGTTCACCATTAGTGTACGTAGCAATACCTGACAGCTGAAAAATATTATTTTTTTTTATTTAATCACTTATTCAGAATCTAATACGGTGGCATTCAGGTAAAAAAGCACGGATCATCACTCACATTGTATGTATCGATTTCTTCCCTGTCGAGTTGTCTGGTCACACGAATTAATCCAGTATGAGGGTCGACAACAAACACATTGAAGGGAGATTTATTTGCACCAATGCCTTCTAGAGAGTACTGAAGTCCCTCAGTTTCCTTCAAATCTGACCGAATCTGAAACACAAAACAGGAAGACGGTGATTTCACTGCATCAGAGAAACAAACTCAAAGGACATTTGCAGACGACAACACCTGCTCACTAAATGATTGCTGTTAGTGGTTAAATAGTTCCTTCTTTGTCTGTTACAGAATATATGGGTATAAATAATCAGTGACTCACCTTGGCAATAAATTCCTTTCTGGTGTAGTCTACATTTTCCTTCAGTGACTTCGCAGGGAGAATCCATTCCCTTTTTTTTCTTACCAGGTTGTGTCCTGAGCAAACAATCACCAGAACAACAGCCTGCAACATACATTTATAATTACTTCACACTGAATCCCTCTTTAAAACAATGGTCCACAATTGCATTTAAGTTACATGTATGTAAAAAAGCAACACTCATACAACTCATAATAGGGCATAATAGGGCCCCTTTAGGTTTGAATAACATTACATGAAAGCACAGAATACAACTATACAAGGAAGTTAAAATATTTAATTTGACAAATGTGTGTTCTGCTTCTAAATTTCAGTGTCAACAATAGTTTGTGAAATGTTGGCCCTTTTAAATGACATGGTTATGAGTGAAATAAAGAAATGCAATCGGACATTTGTAATTCAAGACTTTGCAGGCTTAATGTCGAGTATTTTAGTAATCTCAGTTTTTGTGAATCCATTTGTAAATATTTTATTTTTATTTTGGCTGTAGATCCCAATATGATTTGCAAACAGATGTATGCTCTAACAGAGATACTAGAACGAAATACAGAAAAATGCAGAAATACAGAAAAGAGAGCTCTTTTTTTATCTTTTATTAGCTTGTTCAATTTAAAATCTTGTATTCAAGATTTAATCTTTTAGTAGCTTGTTCAATTTTAAATATTGAATTCATAGAAAGCTTAAAACCTGATTATTTTATTTATTTTTCAATTAATTATTGTGTGCTGAGCAGTCGTTTACTGTTATGTCTTTCATCTATATTTTTCTTGTATACTTAGTTTCAATAAAACATGTATGATTCTTAGTTAACACAGCGTCACACAGCTATTCTGGTTATTTTGGGCTCTACCAAGTTTAAAGGGGGTGGAGTGATACATCGTGGAAACTCCATATACTTCAAGAGATTGAATCTACAGTATGGCACCGTTCCAGCTATAACAACAAAATAAGCACTGCACAGTGAGTGGAGCAGTGTATGTAACACTGTTTCTGACAGTCCTGTGAACAGGTCTGACCAGACTATTGTTGGGTGGTTTGTGCATTAACGTCTACTGCAGAGACAGAGTTCAGTCTGTCTGAAATATGACCTGCCTCTTTGAGAGGGAGGGTGGGCCGTACCTGTTGCTCAGACTGTTGCCTTCTCGTCTATTGCTGCTTGGAGAAAAAAACGTACGTACATGTTGGTACAAGCATGAGCTGCTAGAGCCAACTAGGGTAATCACTGACATAATTATATGTCAATTATGACACCTCTTCTATCAAGCACTAGCTGTATATGTCATCAGACACGCTTCAGGGCACACATATTGGTGTCAGAGCCCTATTGAAGTTTCTATTGGTCATAAAAAACGGCTTTTGCTGACAAGTGACTAGATGGGACTACTAAACGTCATCATCCCAAACATTAGCCACATTAGCTTAGCGGTGGTGACGCGCAGGCATAACACTGTGATGTAGTTTGTTTGCTTTTTACTTGCATTTACGCTTCAAAAATCGTCAACAGGGTGGTAATATTTGGAGAACAAAACGTGAGTATCATAAATGTGTGTTTACCAATAATCTTATTTTCTGCAACATTCTTAGATCTAATGGAAAAATCCCATTGCTTCTTTTTTTGGGTGAAACCTTGTGATGCTAATTTCTGGATTGGCCTATAAAAGTATGTCATCACTGCACCTCTCTATTATAGAGCATCAATAAGATTCTTTAAAGGGGTCGGATATTATTAATGTATGGGTGTAATGCTCCTGCAGGATTCTTGCTTCATCATTATTGCTGATTGCACTTATGTGATCTGCTAAAAAATGTTGTTTAATGTGTATTTCTGTGGTCAGGGGTGCAGCCGCTTGTGTTAGAGGTGACACAGACACACCCCGCCACTCCCAGGACAAAAATTGCACAAAAACCAGAGTGACAGAAGAGGTATGACACTTGGAGCTTCTTCACAAAGGTGTGGCGTCACATCTTTAAGTGACTATTATAGCAGAAAGTATGACTCAGGTGCATGACATGTATGACAAAGTTGCTAGACTGCACAAACATTATTTTTAATATTCATGTTAGACATTCTCTCTTTGGTAATTGCTGTCCTTTGTTTCGCTGGGATAATTATAGACTAATAACAATGCTCACTCCCTAAAGATTAAAACTGTCTAAACTGATTAAGAGCTTGACAGACATCAATTTAAAATGCAATTAAATGAAACATGAAATAATATTTGTATTACATCACTATATTCAATCAGTCAAATTCAATCTGTTTTCATTCAGTAATCGCATAGCCTAATCTCAATCTCATTTTAAACAAATGTGCATCAGTTTATGTTCTTCTTAATAATTATGTTTTATTATAACACATTTATATTACTAAGTCTAAACACACTGACCACATTATAATTATGATACAATCGTGATTTAATAGTGTAAAAGTGGAAACGAGCACAATGAAGCTGAGCAGGATAAAACTATAATAAGATAACATTATTTCATTAATATCTGAGTAACATTATGTAAAATCATCTCGTAACTGTCAACATATTATTTCTCGTTTAATGGCCTTGTTTTTGAAATGTTGCTGAGGGAAGTTAGTGAGTTAAAAATGTCTAAATACTCCCACACCTGTGTTGCCATAGCAGCCAGGTATGTGTCCAGGTCAACCTGTCCTGAACAGATACCGAGCCTGAGATGTGAGGAGTAATACATATGGAATCTGGAACTACATGTTTCTAAAGGAGCAAACATATACTCTGCCAGCTGCTCAAAGCAGGGCCGGCTCTAGACATTTAGCTGCCCTAGGCGAGATTTTAGCTGGCGCCCCCCCAGCCAGAGAATCATACAGCAGAAAAGATAAAGATCAATAGAGTATCCAAAGAATACACAATAGAATGGGGGTGGACGTCACATCCTCTAGGGGGGTCCGGGGGTATGGTCCCCCGGGAAGAAATGTTTGAACATTTTAAAGAAAAATGCTTCAATCTGTTGCACTTTGAGCACACAATTACTAGAGACTAGATCTAGGGGTTACAACTCTAAACACCCATGAAAAAGATCGGTTTACATTTTAATAATCAAATAAGTATGTGAACATAACCAATAACCTACCATAGCCAATAACAAATAAATGTAACTTATTTTATTTTTGTTGTTATTTTACAGTTAAAATGTATTTATTCATGCGTATTCATTCCAGTTTTAAACGATATGTTTTGGTTTACTGTCCTATAGTGTACATTGAAATGATTTCAAACCTGTTTATCCCTATAATTATAAAGGAGTGCCTTGGAGATATGTGTTTACATAAATTGTGATGAAACCGTTTGAGACCCACTGAGATAACTTATTGTAGAAACATCTTCTTCTTTTATCCGTAAGAGCAACTAGCACCAGATTATAATAACAACAGCGCCGATACCGGTGCGCCCTCGCTCACTCCCACACTTACACGCACTTTGGCTGTGAGCTGCGGGCGCCTGATAAGCCAACATCCCCCATTTTCATCACTTACAGCGCCCATCGTACAGGGCAAATGAAAAGTGTAACCGGGGTGAAAAGGGTGTTACATTTACTTAATTATGAATGTTGTTACATCAAGGCCGAAAATTAGGATGAGCACCAACGGTCAAAACAATTGTTTTCCCTCCCAGAACTGCCAGCACAGCGCCTCCCCAGGTCTGGCGCCCTAGGTGAACATCTATAACGCCAGTGCTACGGGCCGGCCCTGGCTCAACTTAACAGAGGCTTCTGCCAACAGCTGGATAACAGTCAGTGTGTTTAACCACACATTATTTAATCAACAGTAAACATTCATATTTAAAAAGAGGACTTTATAGAAACTCAGTCTACATTGGATGTTATATACTATTCAGAAAACAGCAGTTTAGACACAGGAGTGATGCAGGACTCACCGTTAAGAGAAACAACGCAAACACAGGAGAAGTAATCCTATTCATTGCGGAAGAATAGTTCCGGTGTGCACGTGAAGAGAATCGATAGTCCCGTGGCTGCCGGTATGAGGTCCGGACACTATGTGAGCTGATGGAGGAGAGGGGAGGCTTATGAAGGAGGAACACACACACACACACACGCCCACACACACACGTGCACGAACACACGCATGCACACACGCACGCGCACACACACACACACACACACACACACACACACACACACACACACACACACACACACATAAGAGAGACATACAGAGAGAAAGTGACGCTCCTCCCCTAAAATGAAGAATAGAATAAGGGATGTTTATTTTGATTGTAACTATTAATACAAATAATGATTTAAAACTCATTATTATAATTATTATTGTTTTGTTTACGAAGCTAAAAGCCCTTGTTTTTTCCTGTTTTTACATTTGTATCTGTATTATTGTGAGCAAAATTAATAAAAAGTTTGAAGTTTGACAACAAAATAAGTCTTCCTGTTGATGCATGTTTTGATGTAACCATTTTAAAAACAATATATTTTAAAAGGTTAGGCTGTAATAAAACTAACCCTAACCAGCCTCTGTAAAAAATGAACATAAATACATAATCATTCCACTTTTCAGAGCCACACTCATGTGCCGACTACAAACAAATCCACACCACAAGGGGAGATTCCACAGTTTCTTTGTAGCAAACATACTCATCGATACTAACGCTGCTTCTGTTTTCCTTTCTCAACTCATATGGTTAATATTGAATGAGTTTATGGCAGAAAGTGGAACTGAAGCTAAGGTTTTTAGCTGTAGTGGCAGTTTTCACACTGTATTTCCTCAGTTATACATGTGTTGACATCAATTTCAATGTTGATGAAATGAAATTGTGTTAAATAATCAGCATTGTGTTCAAATTCAGATAAAAAAGAGCATTACATGAAACGTACATTATGAATGATGCCAGAGAGTATTTGGTAGGTTGAAGACTTTAAGGGTTGCAGCATGTTCTTATGTTACTCTGTATAACATGTGATGTGTCAGGTAACATTTGTCAGTAAACAAGGGATTAAATCCTAGTCATTGTGCTCAATAATAATAATAATAATAATAATAATAATAATAAGAAGAAGAAGAAGAAGAAGAAGAAGAAGAAGAAGAAGAAGAAGAAGAAGAAGAAGAAGAAGAAGAAGG